TTGGCTGGGGTGGAGTTCTGAATAGCTTTGTATGTTGGTGTTTAGTATTTTGAACAAAATCAGTCACCTGCCAGTGCAATCCAGGGTGTCTGTTCTGAATATTTTTGGTCTCACTTTCAATCTGTCCATAACCCACTGCAGTCAGATTCAGAGAGCCTCTTAAATTTGGCAGCTGCCTGGTTTACAGGTGTTGTGTTTAATTAGACCTGAATAAGAGTGATATTGGATTCCACATGCTGCAATGTGATCCACAGAGAAGGCCACACTCCCTCCCACTCTTCTAGCAAAGATTAGACCAGAAATTCTCAACTATGGTTCCTCCAGATATTACTAGAGGTTGCTTGAGCACCAATGACTCTTTTAGCTGTTCTGACTACCACTATAAGGAGGTATTCCTCTCATGGACCACCAATGTAAGGGGCATTTTTCTGACTGACCCCCAATTAATTGGTCTTAGAGGTTCCCCAAGACCTGAAATAAAGTTTAAGGGCTCCTCTGGAGTAAAAAGCTTGAGAAATGCTGGATTAGACTATCATTCCTAATTAGTTTTACTTCTACTATAGATCTACTTTAAGTATAAGTAGTAGTTGAAGTATAGGTAAAAACTATTTTTTTTTTCATTTTGGATAGAGCAAAATGTGTCCCATTTCTGCAATTTTTCTTCACTTCCTGTCCCATAGCCAAACGGGACATGATAAGAAATCCCTGCAAATCAAGGGAACCCTTTGGGGACCCCAAGGTTACCAGAACCAGTGTCCCTTTTGAAAGATTTATCCTCTATTACATTTCTGGGAACAACCCAAATTTTGGGAATTTCTTTACTTTCAATAATAATGGTAAACAGAATAAATAGAGAGGGCGAATCTCCATAAAGTGGAGTTCCACTTACCGGTCAAAAAATAAAAGTCAGCAGCTACAAAAACTGTAGCTGCTGACTTTTATAAAGCAGCCACTTACTTGTCCCTCGGTCCTGAAGTGTGTCCCCCGCAGCCCATTTCACCGGCCGTCCTGGATTCCAGGAGGCCGGCATCTTCGGTGTGGGCACCCGGCTGTGATAGCTTGTGGCTTCACAGCCGGGTACCCACTGCGCATGCGCGAGTAGTGCTGCGCTGCATGAATGGTCCTGTAGTCTTCTGGGACCTGTCACGTGTCCCATAAGACTACAGGGTGGGAGGGAGGGAGGACACCTTCCGCTTCCGATCGCCTAGGCAATCAGACAGGAAGTGGGAGCAGGTACCTGTCAAATTCGGGTACCCGCTCCCCCCCGCCCCCCAAAGGTGCCAATTAATAGGGAGCGGGGGAGCAGTCCTTAAAGCGGAACTTCCCCTTTTGGGTGGAGCTCCGCTTTAACAGGGGCACAGACAGCAATAAACACTAACAAGGGTTCCAATCCCTCTCCACTTTATCCCAAACTAAAAAAAATTGCCTTTAGTTATACTTTAACCTGCTTGCAGGCAGTGCTGGGCCTTCTTATTAGCAAGCCCAGCATCACAGAAGCACCCAGGATTAAATGAATATTTGTAATGTATTGTATAGAAATAATTTGAATTTGTGATAATTAACAGTTAACTGGAAGGTTAAAAAAAAAATAAAACAATAAAAAAAAGTTTTTCCTTTTTAAACTCTTAACAGCAGCTTTCCTTTAAATTTGCATTGATGAATAGACATTTAATCAAAATGCTTGCTCATGGCATATCCTGTTTCCGAAAGTGAAAGTAGCTTATACATGACATGAGCTTACCATAAACTCCTTCCAGATGTTCCGGAGGAATGCACATTCCATTTTTACTAGTTCTTCTTCAGTTTGTACTTGGCTCCACTGAGCGTGGCTGGTGGTGATTTTTTTCTGTATGGAGTCCAGAAGGGTCTTAAAAGCACTACAGACCTATTATTGTGTTTTATTGAAAGGATAGAAGCAGTAACCTATCATTTAACCTAAACTACCACGTGCTGAAATGGAAAAGAGCTTGCTGTTATAACGGACAGCCCGACTCTATTTCCGTATGTTGGCATTGACTGCTCACTAATCACATATAAAGTGGTGACAAGGGGGAAGTTGACCACAATTCAATTCTACATTGGAGCCATAAATCTTTTATTTGTAACTGTGTTTAAAGCCCAGGTGCATCAAAACAAAAGGTGCGCAGTTCTAGAAAGCAGCTGCAGCCTAAGCAGAAAAGCCTGTTCCCTGGCAGCATGCTGTGGAGAAGGACCCTTGCGCTCTCTATGGAAGCAGTGGTCTCTCTACATGGGTCTGACACACTTCCTAATGCGTCAGAATGAGAGTGTTCCAATCAGCAGGGAGCATGAGCTTTGCTGATTAGAGAGCTCTTGCTCAGAACTTCAAGTTTGAATGTTAGGATTTGATTGGTGAAGGTATAATGCAGATCCTGTTGAAGGAGGCTCAGTCTTTCTATCATGTTGATGACCATTGTTTTAGATTTTTGAAGCCTACCAGAACTAGGGGGGACAAGGACTTCCCCCTGCTACCTCTCGGTGGAATGTACCAAGTCATCCTGCAAGAACATACAAAAAAAAAAAACTACAAACAATAGTGGCACTGTTCTGATTGTTATGGTTGATAACAATTAAGGCAGTAGATCTTGTAGAAGCTGGGCTTAATGTTTTTCTTTTCGCTGACATTTCTTCCTTTTAATATACTTTTTCCAAGACACCATTCGAATTCCCATTGAACCGTTTACTTAAGAAGTAGAAAAACTGTTCTTGGAAATGACTGCACCTTCTCGCTACAATGTATCCCTAACTCCACTGCATTTAAAGGGCCAGTAGACACAGAGTCATGATTTATCTAAATTCATTTGAATAATGATCATACATAAGTGAAAGTGAAAATCTTTTTGTGACCTTAACTATATTAACTCTCTTCCAATCTAAAAAATTCTCCCAATATACTAAGTGTTGCTGCAAAGCACTAAAATGTGATCCTACGTCCAATTTAAAGTGGTTGTAACCCTAAAAAGTACAAAAAAGATTTTGTTCCTTAAAAGAAGGATACATACCACAGTGCTTCTGCAGTGTATTGTGCCTCATTCAATGCTGTAAAATACCTGGTTGATCCTGCCTGCTCCTGTGTTCCCCTGTGTGTACTGACCACGGTAAAAATGGCTGCTGATCCATGATACTGTAGTCAGTTTATGTGTCTCCGTTATCCTGCTGTGTGCTAAGAGTCTCTCTCCTTCCTCTGGCCAGAGGAGTATCTCAGCCCCCTCTTAGATTGGAAAAGGAGAGCGTAGGGAGGTTATGTGCCCGCACAGCAGAGCTGTGCAAAGAGGTATTTAGTATTATAATTATTATACCTTATCATACAATATGCATAAAAACTCAATGAAATGTGTCCAATATACAAAAAAGTTATTTAAATCAAACAGTCCATGGGGAAGTGAGAGGGTTCAACCACAACTGTGATTCTGCAAATCAAATACACAGTTCGTAAACTCCAAACAGCGCCCTGTTAACAAATATAGGATTTTCCAACTTGACCATGTAATCCCTCATCCGTGTGAACCACCACCTGTCACTCATGCTCACCTTTAATCCCAGACTTTATAAAGGTCACTGTGCGCTTTTCCCTGTAAGCAGTCACTAATTGTCACTCCAAATCTCCAATCCAGGGATTCCAATATGATTCCAATAAGCCAAGCAAACTATCCACCAACAAAAGACACTCTATATTACATATGCAGGTACATGTTTTCTTAAGGGAAAGATCACAGCGTCACCAAACCCCAGTATCCAGGTCTCTCCTTCCTGGTGGCGTGATGACATCATTAAGCCCCGTCCTGATGTGTTTCATCACTTCCTGTGACTTTGTCCAAAGTCCCCCTGTTTCGTCAGTTCCTTTGACTTCTTCAGCAGTCCCCCTCTCAGAACACAATAGCTCATCGGGGAGGTCAGTGTACTAAAATCAAATCATTTGTACAGTGACCTCCTTCCGAGCTCCTCAATTTTTGTCTAATGTATTTGGGTATTAAATAAAAATAACTTGCTTATTGTTTCTAAATAAGATCTAGTGTAAGTGAGTTTTGCCATTTCCCTGTAATTGCCTCACAACAGCATTTTGACTACGAAAGGAAGGACAGCAATCTAAGCCAATCAGGTTTTGCTGTAGTAAACATGTGCTCATGAGGAGCGTGCTCATAGGAGGAGAATGGAGAATGATCAGCATGAATCACCATCACTTTTCTGCTGCTCCTTTACTGTCCAATCAGCAGGCTGGGGGTTGTTCTTCAGCCATTTGTGCTGCTTTATTGAAAAGATGGGTATTATTTAATATTGTCCAACATGCTCGTTTGGCATACATTTGCTCCTTATTTACGTGTTCTGTAGGCGGGAGTTAAATGGGACAATCTAAATGGTAAGGACAACATGAATAAGTCTTTCCTAAGGATATATAAGATGTCTCCAATCTGTTGATGTTAAGACTAGCTGCTCAATATATTTTCTTCTTCCAGGACAAGCAAGGAATTCCCTGGTGGTTGGGAATAAGCTTCAAGGGAATTGGACAGTATGATATCCAGGACAAAATAAAGCCAAGAAAGGTTGGTGAACTCAAAAGCCATTTTTATTATGTACATTTTGTGTGCAGTTATGTGTTAACTGAATTCAAGTCTTCGGTGCATTAGGAGCTCTTTTACATAGGCATGAATTATAAGGCAGCTATAGCATTATGAGCATTTTGGAAGTGTTGCACATGCGTTCCAGATGTGCCTTCTTACATTTTTTATTTTTTAAAAGGCTAACATCGGAAATGATCACTTTGGTGCTTGTGCTGTAAATGCCATAGGTGCAGTTCAATAGAAATGAACGGAGGCAATTTCAAAGCATCAAGGACTGTTAGTCTGGAGCAGGCAGCATTATTTTTCGCCTTGTTGCCATCCCAAGCAGGGATTGCTTTTCAGAGGAGCGGAAGTGTTTGCCACTAATGTCAGAAAGCCCTAAAAGCTGGGTGGTTGGAAGGGAATATACTGTAAAGAAATTACAGAGGAAAGGGGTCAGAGGTTGGGTTGCTTATAACCAGGGGCGGACTGACCATTTGGAAACTCGGGCCCGGGGTCAGTAGGGCGCCCCATGAGATGCCCCTGGTACCTTTTTCCTAGGCTTTTTTGAGTTTGGGCAAGGATACAGGAGCCCCATGATCCCCTATTGCCCGGGGGCCCCATGAGTTGTCAGTCCGCCCCTGCTTATAACTAGTTTGTTGATGTTTATCAATAGTCCAAGAGGTGGGGAGGTGGCAGAACTACAGATTCTGAAGAAATGTTGCAGCCCTTATGGGCCTTGTGCTGCTATGCTATAAATCAGTTCTTCAATATGCATTTTCGTTGTGTATGCAGTTGCTTAGCTAAAGTTGCCCTTCAAAACCCCAACAAGAATTATTATTATTTTTTTTTCATTGGCTCTTCCCAGTCTTGAGTGGGGTATTTAAGGGCCAACCACAACAGTGCTGGGCAAAATTTAAAAAAACCGTTAGAAAATGTGCCTATTTTTTGCTTATGTTACGTGTGTTGTTATTGGAAGGACATATTCTTGGCTCACTAAGAAGTTCCTGCTGGCTCCTAAACTGGACTGACTTGCTCATCAGATCTGATTCAGATTTTCCACTCCTACGAGCTAATGTAGATATTGTAAGTGTTGCTATGCATACACTGTATCCCAAATCAGAGGTACTTTAGGTGTCTGTGTTTTGAGTCCCAGTTGTTCCTTTTGGACCAAAAATATATTTCCAAATCTCACTATACACGTTACAATCTGACCATTCAATCTTTGTAAAATAACTCTTAGATTTACCAAAACTATGTAATATGAGTATCTACCTGAACTATCCAATCAATATGTCCAGTGAGGCAGGTCATTACACTACATAATCATTGATGGATCTCATCAAATTGTAATGTGAACAAAAACCAAACATATGTGGGAGTTTAAATATGCTCTCCCGGGATTACTGTCAAGGTCCTACCTTTTCCCTGAGGTTATGTTACTCCATGTGCTGGCATCCATCTTGGATTCTGCTGTGCATGGTGGGAATCCTTTTATGCCTTCAGGTCTCTGAGGTCCATCCCCCAGAGGGGCGTGGCTGATGACATATAAGCCTGTGGCCCGCACATGCTCTTTGCACTTGTGTCTTGGTGTTGCTATTACGCTGTTCTGACTCTCGTGACTCTCCTGGTATCTGATTCGGCTTGTGACTTGACTATTCTTTGTATTCTCCTTTGATCTGACCCTCTGTTGCTGAACCCGGCTCGTGACCTGTGATTCTCGTCTGCTGTCCTGTACTGTTTTGTCCTGTTGTTGTTGATCCCGGCCTGTCTGACTACTCTTTTGTCTCTTCCACCAGCTACACGCCATTGGCGGCGGCCATTACCGCAGCTGAGGTGTCTCGGGGGCCGCGACCTGGTTCCTGGCTGCGTCAAGTCCATCCCCACCATCAGGGGCCCTGGTGAAGGGCAGCCTGGGACTTAGACTCCGCGCCCTGAGGGACTTCGGTCTGTGGGTGGTGGTTGTCGTCAGCCAGTGCGTTACATTGTTAGGCCTGCCTGTCCGTTCCTCGGCTCCTGCCCTGACAATTACTTTGTGATAATGGAAACCATTCAATAACAGTTAAAAACTTGCACTTTTATTGTACAAAAATATTACAATGTTTCAAGACATGTAAGACATATATAAGGAGCAGGATCTTGTAATTCTCAGTTATAACATTATAAGATGAAAAGCCTGATATTCAATAGCTAACTCAGTCTACGCGTTTCATGGTGATTCCGCTTCTTCAGGAATTATATATGTCAATTGATAACAGATAAAGATTCATCTTTGGAGAATAACAAACAATTAAATTATGACGTATGTAAATAACAAAAAGCCTAAGAAAGCCAAGTTTCACTGTCCACAAACCGTTGGAAAGGAGGAATGGGGGCAAAGAGATCAGATTCCTTCTTGTCATCCCTAAAGTGACCTTAAAGACAGTTGAATGAACCAGTAAAAACTGTACCTGCAAAGAAGCCTGTAAACACTTACCTATTTACTGTCTACCTCTGCTAGATGCAGCTCTGTTGAAGAGAAATCATTCACTAAATTTGTTCAGAAATCAGCACTTCTGTTAGTGTTGATCTTTAGTGTCCTCTGCTGCGCTCTGTTGTTCCTCCTGCCAAGCCCAACTTTGTCACCACAGGACACAGCAGTAATATTTGTACTATTCTATATCTCTAATCTTGAGTCATTGTAATACTGCAGTCTTCCCTTTCAATGACGATTTGATTTTTTTTATTATTTTCCTGTATTTTCTCCCTGTGAAAGCAAACGCTTCAAGCTGAGTGATGGCTGTAAGGCTGTCCTAACTCTGGCCTGAGCTCATTGCTAAAGTACTCAAAAACTTATAACTAAGGAACTGTTCTGAATACATTGAAAAAAACACCTAAAAGCTTTTTTTAAATGACTGTTTTACCCCTCTCCAGAAACCTAAAAAAGAATGATTGGCCCTCAGTTCAGGCAGGAAACAGGACAGCTTGTATGCAGGTGGAGTTCCCCTTTAAGTGAGATCCCTCCCTAGGAGGGAGGAGTGGGAAAGAGTCCCATTAGGTGGGGGATTCTAGGGTTGGGAGTGGATTTGGGCCTGGGAGGAGAGAGGAAGACTGCAGAATGTGTCCTTCTCTCCTACCTCCTGGGGGAAGGGGTGGGGGGGTGTGAAATAGGGGAAGCAGAAGCTAGGCAAAAAGAGGCCTTCTAGGCCTGGACAACACCTGGGGCAGAAAAGACTTTCCTGGTCCCCCAAGGGCTTGCTATAGGAAGGTAAAGTGGTTTTAAAACCTGAGGCCAAGCACAAACGTTTCCCCATGCCGGCTATAATTACCTAGATGGCTTGTGATGGAAATTATTGCTCAGCCATGCTATGTAGAGCCATGCCTTGACTAGACTGTAATCATTGTTAAATAAAGCCATTCCAACTACATTTTGGCCTTGGAGTGCATTCATTGGCCAGCATCCCAGTATGCGGAGAGAGAGAGCAGGAGTTCTGCTGGTGCCCTCTGGCTGTCGGCCTGGAGAAGGTGCCTAGTGCCTGGAGCCCCTGGGAGTCAGGGGGCGAAGTACACAGCCAAGAGTGTGGATCGGGTGCCGGTCTCTGCCCACCACCCACACATCAGGTAGAGTCATCGGGCAAAGTCCTGTGTCACCGAAAAGGTTAGTGTCACGTTGGGGATTCGGCTCGACTGTTCGCTGTGGCCATGCGCGATACAGTTTGCCCACCCGCCTACAAGCCTCCACAGGGGCCTGGCAGCCTGACTCCAGGCTGGCATTCATGTTTTGATAGGGAGAGAAAACAAGTAAATAACACACATCCATACCGCCAAGGTAAGTTCGCACTATTATAACATCTTGAGTGGGAATTCAAATTTCTACAAAAACTCTTTTCTAAAAAGTTTTTGAAAGAGAAGTTCATCATATAATAATTTATTTTGTCAATGTCACCTTGAAGTTGCTCTGAGCCCTGGAGAAACTGTCTATTATCCTGAATGACGCTGTTCAGAGACAGACTCCTCCACCGCCATCAGTAAATGACTATGTTGCCGTTTGGAATAAAATGGTATTGCTTATTATAGGCTAGGGCAGTCTGACTCACGACACAAACTCCATTACTTCTCGTGAGTCACATATTATGTATTCATTGCATTTTTGCACAGGTTGATATTTTTATAGAATATACTATTTAAAGGATTGAGCAATACAAGCTTCTATAAAATATTCTACTTTACTAGCATGTAATTGGGAGATGAAGCTCAAATGCATGTATGTTTCAGGACATTGGCGAATTTGGAGTGCTGGGGTCATGGGCTCTTTTGCCAAATAGAGTGTTTTATCCATGTAGTGTTTGTGTTGGGCATTTGGTTTTGGGTAAATGTCTTCTAAACTTCAAATTTGTGCCAGTTCTGTGGCTCAGTATGTAATGAAGCAAGCATTTATTTATTATAGGTCTTTATTAAACTGCCAATTTCTGCAGTGCTTTACATATTTTACCTTTAAAATTGTTCTTTCCTTACAATCTAAGGTCCCTATCTTGAATGCATACACACTCACATACTAGGGCCAAGTTAGACAAGAACCAATTAGCCAACTAGCATGTCTTTTGGCGTCTGGGAGGAAACCAGAGTACTTGGTAGAAACCCACACAACCACAGGGAGCACATGCAAATTCCATGCAGATAGTGTCCTCTAAATGACTGCCTCTGAAGGTGACCATTATAGACAGCTGTAGCACCTTCCAGAGAGGTACCCTATAAAGCTGGGTATACACTACTAGAATTTCAAACAAACATTCATAAGAAAATTCTTAGGAAAATTTGTATGAAAATTCTGTTGTTCCCAAGTAGTTCAAGATTCAATTTGAAATGGAATGGATTGGACCAAATGAAAACCACATACACTCACCCACACACACACCTACAAATTTGTATGTTTTGAGAAAAAATTTCCAACCTGCTCCTTCAAATTTTCTTGTCACTATGATGGAAAACAAATGTCAATTTGACCCCCTAATGACTCTACTAATTAGAAAAAAAAAATGAAAAATGTTGAACGAAGTTCTACTAGTGTATACCCAGCTTAAAGTAATGAACAGGACAAATGTCTGTATATCAGATTGTCTTATTATTCTGAGTACAAGGATACCTTTTTCTTCAGAGGTTCAGTATAAGAGTATGTGCATATGTACCTAGGCAAAGATTACATGGTCTCTGGCCACCAACAATCCTGTAGATGTTTCACATCATTAGCGACTGCAGAGAACCTATTCGTTAATTTGAGAAGACTTGCCTGGCAGACTTAAGCTGGCCATAGATGGGTCATTTTTTTTGTTCAGCCGAACGAAAAACAAAAATAAGCAGATTCCTCCATCCACACAAAGTGGAATTCCCCTTCCCTAGTACATTGTACTCTGACAGCTGAACTCTGCACTGGGGGGGAAGGCGGGGGGGGGGGGGGGGGGAATAATCCCCTATGCACTTTGCTTGTGTGAAAAGAGGAGTCTCTTAGTTTCGATGGAGGAATCTGGCCAGCTTTAGACAATGGTAACAAGTATCCCCTGGAAGATTTCCCTTCCATTTTGTTCTGGAACCAAATCAAAAGTTTTTCCCTTCACTGTCAGACACCAGGACAAATACAGTACATATCT